ACAAGTGGAGGGTATTATCATGGTATCATCTGTAAAGGTAAAACTGCAACCCATCACCTTTAAAAAAAAAATTCTATAGAGTGTGTGCTCATGAGAGAGTAAGAAAGTACCTCTCAGGGGCCATGGCCATGCTGCAATCTCTTCTCCTCCATTCTCCTCTCAGGATTTTGGGCAAGCACGGATATACATCTGGTATGTTGGTTTTGCAAGCTGCCAGGTCCAGGACTCAAACCCTGTGACTGGCCATGTGGGATCCAGCCTCTTTAACTACCACACCATTGGGCTAGCCCAACATATGTCATCTTCCCCTTCAAATCTGATTTGAAACAAATGGGACAGTGTGCCGTGTGGTTCTGTTTGTGAATTTTCAGCTCCTGTGGTGGTGCTAGCAGCAAGCATGCCATCAGTAACACAGACTCACCAAATGTTCAATTGAAAGTAATTTTATTATTATTATTATTAAGTATTATTAATTATCATCAGCATCATTAACATTAGCATGAAATGAAATCCACTATTTAAAAAAACACACACACACACCCCAAAGGCATGTGTCTTGCCAACAGTGGGTCAATAACATTATCTTCACGTACAAGGGACAGCACCCTGAGGATACAGACCATATCACAGCTTGATAATCAATTCAGTAATTTAGCCAACATTATTCGAGCACCTAGGCACAATGGAGGATTTAAAAATGTGTGTAAGAATCCCTGCTTTCAAGAAATTTTACAGTCCAGTAGGAGGTATTGAAGAACATTAGGAACACAGGCCATATGAGATCAGTGATGTCATGGAATTAGGGCTGTGTCTGAGTACCACTGAAAGGGGCATCGCATGAGACTAATGCCACATTCATTGGGGGGAATTAGAAGAGGCTCTATAGAAAAGGTGGCATCTTAGCTGTGGTTTGAGAAATTGAAAGGATTTTTGCAGGTTGGCACGTGAAGGAGGGGCACCGCAGGTGGGGAGAATAGTGTGGGCCAAAGCATGGCAACGGGAAAGTTCATGGCATGGCCAAGGAGAGAAAAATGGTTCCTGTTGGTGGTGCATGGGTCTGTATAAGTGGGAGTGATGTGATAATATGTTGAAAGTTCTATGGGGACCATATTATGAATGGTTCTGGATATCAAGCTAAGATTTCTGATCTTCATGTCACAATCACTGCATTTATTCACAACAACAAACTATGCAATTATTTGTGAGGTGATACATTCCATTCACTTCTAGATTTCTTAGGGATATTCAAGTGGTTTCTAGGCAAACTTATCACCTAGTTATTAAAAATGTCCACGCAGATGACACCAAGCAACTTACAGTAAAATGTTCTATTTTGCATATAATTATGTTTTCCCTCAAAGTCCTTATTCTTTCCATGCAGTGATCACACCTCTTCTCATTTCCAACTCCATCCCACAATTCTTGTGGCACCTGATATGAGACAAGCTTAATTAAGGACTTCAAGAAACAGCTGCTACCCTGAAACTAGGACCCACAGCCTTGAGAAGTGAGAGTGATGGTTGTAGAGGCAGTGAACAACATCATGAAAATGTAACCATCTGAGAAGATTTTTGGAACCCCTATCCTAAGAGTCAAGCATAGTTCTTGGAAATTGGAATTCCACTCAATTTGGCCTGGAGGACCCCCAGAACTCACAGTGCCAGAATGAGGTAATCTTTTTAAGTTTCCTCATATTGCCAAGGAATTCCTTAAAGGAATGACATTTAAACTGGGTTACAATTATTTAAAGCCCTCCTTGCTCTGAGGCTACTGAAGCTGTAGACAGAAGGGGATGACTTTCTCTCTGACAAGGAATCCTGTTGGGCTTTGCCTGTACCCAACAGGCTGGTAATTGGGAATTTCTCCCATGCAATGACAGTTTTAAGATGCTAAAGAATGACTGTATTAAGTAACCAAGCCAAAGACTAAGCTATATAGAACCAATAAAGGAAAGTTTAGAATGACAAAGATGCCATGGCCACCCTTCCTGCAGCTAGTCAGTCTTTTGGCTCTTTTCCGGAATGAGACTTCCTCTGCAGGAAGTCATGGATAGCTGTAGTGAGGCCCCACGTCACACTGGACCTTAGGATGACCAGTGAGCCTCCACGGTAGATCAAGAGCACCTTTCGGCCCCGAGTGTACCACATGTCCTGGGCAGAGGCCCACAGGCTTGGCATGCTCTGCCAGCCAATATGAGACTGCATGTTGGCCACCAGCACAATCAGAGGATAGAGCACTAGACAGGTGATTGTTCCATTGACACTACCGGACACCAAGGCAGGAACCCAATGGGGCAAGCCTTGCTGTGCCAAGCCATCCTGGATAGGATCCTTGAAAGAGAAATATAGAGCACTTCCCAGGCTGTTCCTGACGAGGACGGGCCAGAAACCACGATAGTAGCCCAGGGACAGCCGCCCCCAAAGCCCATAAGAGTTGAATTCCTTGAGAATGCTGAAGGTGCTGGGGAAACGAGCTTGCTTGCGACCATCCTGGAGCACATTCTGCACCCTTTCAAAGGGGCTGAGTGCCACAGCCTCCACGACACCTGACATGAGCCCTGCAGCCCAGCGGTGTCCCAGGGAGTGTGGCCCAACAGGTGAGAGAGAGTACAGCAGGCTATCGTAAGTCCCAAACAGCAGAGTCCCCTGCAACGTCTTGGAGAGAAGAGGGGGGTAGATTCCTCGGTAGAAGTATTGAGGACCTTCATGCCAAAGCTGTCTCACAGCCTCTGACACCGCCATGGCATGGATCTGTTGCCGGAACACAACTTTATAGATAGGAAAGGTCAGAAAAGTTGACATAAAGTTGGAAATGGCCCCGAGGGCGTAAGCCTGGGAGTGCCAGCTTTTCTTTCCTGGAACATCTGCCCGTGTCCTGTGCTGAAGCTCCTTCCCAGGAGAGTGATTCTGCTCCCCCATGCTGACGAAAACTGAGTGCAGATGGAAGAAACTGGCAAGAGTGGGGAAAAAAGAAGTTAGACCAACCATTTAAATCTGTTGGTGAGCATATTCATTACTTCGTTAGAAACGGAACCCCATGAAATTCAGGCCTTTGGATCCGTTTCTGAGAAAGAGGCATTAAGAATTAAGACATTAAGAATTTCTCAACTAAATTTCTCAATGAAATCGAAACAAAGGCAGTTTGTGTTTCTGGACAGTCACTTCAACAGTATTGAGTTGACACAACAAATATTCCAATAGTCAATGAATTACTATCACAGAACATGAAATTGGGGAGGGAGGCCTCCAAAACTTATTTCATTCAACTGTAACCACATAACACTTTGCATTTTATAAACCACTAGAATAATAAGTGGCTCTTCTCTCCCCTCCAGCCCTTCAAAAATGGCACTATCTTATAGCAGCAAGAAGGTATTCAATAGTTGTAGGGCAATATTTCCTCTAAAAGTAGGCAGTAAATTAGGGGAGGGGAGACTACCCCTGCCTTTCTTTCTGAAGATTCTTACCCAAGTTGTAGCTGTTTCATGGCAACACCCTATCCCTCCCCCAATTAAGGAAAGGAAAGAGCAGCTGCTCTCGGAAGTTCAGTGCCAAAAGGCTCAGCACCTGGCAATTTCCATGCCTAACCTTGTAGATCTGCAGCTATCTAAGAGATCAGGACTTCTCGGCCTCTGCACTACATCTTGGGTGGGATAATTCATGCTGGTGCCTGACCCATGCATCACAGGATGTGTAGCAGCATTCCCAGCTGCTTCTACTCAGTGTGCCAGTAGCACACCAGTTGTGCCCTACCCAGTGTGAGGACCAAATTGATCTCCAGACATTGTCCTACGTTCCCTAGGAAACAAAATTGCCTGCAGTTCAGAACCACCACCCAAGAGGGAACTGGCAGCGCAAGGACTTCTGATGACTGCTCCCGGGCCCATGAAGGCCCAGGAGCAGGTAAGCAGTATGAAAAGCAACTTGGGAGCCAGGACACAGGAAGGAACTCTGGCATCAAAAAGAAAAGAATGCTCAGCACAGACCTGAGAGAGTTTGTCAATCAGGAAACAGGCTCCACCAGGCTGAGAAGATAGGGAGTGCAGCAGTGGGAGCTGGCATGGGAGAAAGGAGGCTAATACCCAGGTACAAGGAGGCTCCAGTCAGGTCCCCACAGCCACAAGGGTTCCCAACACTCTTCAGATCTTCTATCAAAGGTCTTTCCCAAGTCTTCCCCACCCCTAAATAAGGGCAGGTGGTGAGGTAAATGCTTGTCCCCTCTTCTACCATCAAGAGTCTACTTCCTCCCCACGTTTTATGCGTTGTGTTCAATGACTCCATGAAACAGGCTGAGTTAGCAGGAAAAATATGGGGCTTCAATCTGGCAGATCAGCATTCTAAATACCAGTTCAGTTATCAACTTTCGGTGTGACCCTTAGCCATCAACTGACACCTTGGAGCCCCATCTGTCTGAGTTAGAAAATGAACACAGGGCAAAATTCTCTGGAAGCATTCCTGTGTTGTGTGATGCCATAACGGTCTGATATGGGGGAATTCAGGTCAAGAGTTAGTAGAATAATTGTTCTTTTCCATCCCCCATTCCTCTGCCATTTTTTTCACATCATTTTGAGGGATTAAATAAAAGTGAGCAATAACTGGGAAATGTCTTCCTTTAAAGATCTAATCTGGGACCAACAGGTGGCATGGTGGTTAAGGTGCTGGACTCTCACATGGTCAACCGTGGTTCAGTCTTGGACTCCGTGCCTTGTAACTCATGTGGGGCATGTGGGTGCATGCCCTAAACCCTGGGAAGAGAATGGAGGAAAAGGGATTGCAGCTTGGCCATCCCCTTCGTGGGGGTGGTTTTTCACTTTCTCTCTGTGCATCTCCAGTGAGTGTACATGCCCTATAGCAAAATCTCTCTTTAAAAAAATCTAATTCATCCTTTTATAAATCTCATTTTTTATTTTATGATGGAGAACCACTTTTCTCCTATCTCTTCTTCTGTGAAGATGTCAGGCTTTGGGGGCAGATGGTCCTGAGACTGAATTCTGCCTCTGCTGCTTACTTAGTCATGTGACCTTGGGCAAGACACTTAACTCCATTCAGTCTTATTATTTGCAGCTACAAAATGGGGACAATAAGACCTTCCTCAAAAGGATGTTGCAAAGATTAATGGCATAAAATGAGATAAAATGGCTGAGAATCCATGGTAGTCTTGATAAAATGTATCCAGGAAAAAAATATACTTCCTGGTCCCACCAGTTGTCTCAGCAGAGCACACACTTCCCTAGGACACTCTCAGGCCAGCCAGAACCAGATGAAATGGCATGCTGGAACATATCCTCTGTTCCCATTGGAGGCAGGGAAGAGCTTTCTTCCATGAATATAAAGGTGCAACACAATCTGGGAGAGGCGCCCTCTTAACATGAATTCTAAAGTAGAGACCATAAAATGGGCTGGACTTGGCCTTGAGCAGTTATCACCTGTACTCTATGATCTTCCTCCTATGTTTACAGCCTAGTACAATGAGCCCAAGGGATTCCAGACTTCCCTGGCTAGCATAGTCCAGGTGGGTGGGTCTGTGTGATCACCCTAGGATCCAGCCCATTTGTCCATTCATTCAGGGCCTCCCTCAGTCGGTCCTCTGCTCAACTCACAAACATGTATTGATCATCTACTAAATCATTGTGGATAGATCACCATGGAGCTAGAGATGAATACAACTTGGTGTCTCTCTTCAAGGGCTTGGGAATTTAGTGGGGAAGACAGCTCAACAATGAGCTTTAGGGACCAGCAGTTAGTGTAATGGCTATATCGCTGAACTCCCACATAGTCGACCCCGATTCATGTCCCGGACCCAGTGACTTAAAACTCATACCGGGTGCGTGTGCGTGCGTGCCCATGATCCTGAGAGGAGAATGGAGGAGAAGGGATTGCGGCGTGGTCATCACCCCTGGGGGGTGATTTCTCGCTTTCTGTCTCTCTGTCTGTCTGGCGAGTGCACACACCCTATGGCAAAAAAAAACCCAAAAAACCTCCCCCCCCCAAAAAAAAAGTGAGCTTTATAAACTGTATTGAAAGACAAAAGGTCCACCAATACAGGTCAAAGTGGAAAGATGAGAGTGGTCTATTCCACCTGGGACAGGGAGCACCTAAAATATTTCTCCAAGAAGGGGCATCTGACTCCACTCTGAATAAGAAGGGTCTTGGATGGAGGAGTGAGGGCTGGCATTCAAGGCTTAGAAAGAGACCTAAGGAGGGCCAGCAGGAGGCACTGGACTCTCAAATGGCAGACCATGGTTCAAGTCCTGGACCTGATGGCTCAAAAGTCATGCTGGGCACATGCGAATGTGTGCTCAAAATCTTGAGAGGAGAATGGAGAAGGGACTGCACTGTGGCCACACACACACACACACACACACACACACACACACACACACCCCAAAGGGTGATTTCTCATTTTCCCTCTCTATGTCTCGTTCTTTCCAGCGAGCCCATGCCCCCTATGGGGAAAAAAAGAGGCCTAAGGCTCAGAAGCTTAAAAGTGGGAGTGCTGGGGCCAGCAGGTGGCGTGGAATTTAAAGTCCTGGGTCAAACATGGCCAGCTATGCAGTTTGAGTCCCAGACCCAGTGGCTTGAAAATCATACCAGGTGTGTGTGCATGTGAACCCAAAATTCCAGGAGGAGACTAAAGAAGAAGTGTGGCCATTCCCCACTGGGATGCTTTTTCACCCTCACTCCTCTGGTGAGAGCACATGTCCTGTAGGAAAAATTAAAAAAAAAAAAAAAGTGGAAGTCCTGCTATAGGCCTTGAGAAGGAGACAGAACTGTGACTGACAGGGAGGAGCCCCTTAGAAAAAGCACCATCTTGGAGGACCAGCAGTTAGCATAATGGCTATGTCGCTGGACTCCCACATAGTCGCCCGGTTTTGAGTCCCGGACCCAGTGGCTGAAACTCACGACGGGCGCGTGTGCGTGCGTGCCCAAGATCCCAGGAGGAGAATGGAGGAGAAGGGATTGCAGTGTGGCCATCCCCCCTGGGGGGTGATTTTTTGCTTTCTATCCCTCTGTCTCTGTCTGTCTGGCGAGCACACGTGCCCTATAGTAAAAATCTCTCCAAAAAAAATAAAAAAAGAAAAATCACCATCTTCATTTCCCCACAGTTGTGTGCTGTAGGGTATAGACATGGGAGTCAGACAGCCCTGGGTTTGAATTTTGCTCTGCCACTTTCTAACTTTATGACCTTGGCCAAGTCTCTTCGCCTCTCTGAGCTTCAGTACCCCTATCTGAAAAATGACTGGTATGAATGAAGCTTAGCACAGTACTCAGTACACAAGCTACTTCATTAGTTATGTTAGTTTCACTTTTTTAAAATGAGATAATAGGAATAAATGTCTGAATTGTTTTAAAGAATGAAATTGATCTAATATACCGGGGCATCTGCAGAACGCATTTTAAATTGCTTCTTTGGAAGACAGCTAAAAAGGGTTTTCATGGGCTTTGGAGTTTGACAGTTCTGGGCTGGAGTCCCAGTGCGTCCACTTAGAAGGTGTATAGCTTTACACATGTTACTTAACCTCCCTGACACTCAGTCTCCCTACCTGCAAAATAGGATAATGATGCCTGTAGCCACAGGGTTGCTGAGAACCTTAAATGAGACAACAGATGGGAAGTTCCTGGCACAGGGGAGGCAGGCAGCCAACGGTAGCTATTATTGTTTCAACTGAAAGCTGTATCTCCTAACCTTCAAGCTTTTAAGGCTTGTTTGTTGAAGTTGGAAAACGTGGTCTCATTAGAACCATCAACTGGAACACATTCCCACACAGGAGGCCAGAGATTAGGAATATCTTGTAGCCAGTTGGAGCCAGCTTGCAAATGCTCCTCTTGGCCCTGCATAAAGAGATCCTTGCTTTGTTCTAATGGTCCAACCCTAGCACCTTAACTCAATCCATTTCCTTTCATTATTTCAGACTCAGATATCTAGTTTGGTGATGAAGTCTATTTTTCATTTTCATTTTCATAGATAGATTTTTGCCCGTAGGGTGTGTGCACTCACCAGAGAGACAGAGAGAGACAGAAAACAAGAAATCACTCCCCGGTGGGATGGCCATGCCACAACCCCTTCTTCTCCATTCTCCTCTCAGGATTTTGGGCATGCACACACACATGCCCAGCATGAGTTTTAAGCCACCAGGTCTAGGATTCAAACTGCAGTCGACTACGTGAGAGTCCAGCGATGTAAGCACTACGCTATCTGCTGGTCCAGATGAAGACAATTTAAACACAGAACAAGTCTGCTGAGACTCAGGGTGAGAGGTCATAGTACTGGGCGGCAGAAAGTAAGGGTCTGAAGGAAACCCAAGAGCTGCTGCTGGCACCACCTCTGACTGTGCTGACTGTGCCGCGTGAGGTGAGCAGCCCACCTCCTCTGTTGCCTAACACTCTCCACCCTCTACTCCACTGTGCCATCTGCACTGTTCCAGTCCTGAGGTTTGGAAGGTGCGCTTCAACTCCAAATTTGGACTGTGTACCAAGAGACTTGGGTATGTGGAGTTGTAAGTCAGAGCAGAAATGAGCAGGCGAACTATCTTGACAGGCCGAGGACGAACCCAATAGCAGCTAAGAGGTTATGACTGTTCGCTTGCTTCTAAGCATCAGGAATCAAGAACAAGCCCTGCAGGAGCCTCCTAGCCAAACTCTCCATAAGGGAAGTGATACCTGCTCTCTCAGAACTAGAAGTCAAGGAAAATGGAGCAGGTTTTCCAGCCACTGGCTTCACTGCCCATTCACTCCGGACAGCCCTGCATGCCGTTTCCATGGAGTTGCTCCTTCTCTGGGGCCGGTGATGCCAAATCCAGCAAAGAAGAAGTACCCTGAAGAGCTCACAGAAGGGCAACCTAGCAACCTATCCTTGAGCCAGGAAATGAAAGAGCTATATCAGCAGCAGAGAGCTGTGGTTGGGTTAAATTATGTTTCATTTCTCACACTTTTTCAAGCATGAGTTGATGGAGGAAGATGTTGTGAAAAAAAAAAAAGAGAGAGAAAAGGTTGTAGGAGAGTGATTTGTAACCATTTGAGAGCCACAGTTTCATTTGAAAAATCTGTAAAACTGTAAATTCAGAAAAATGTAGAGTCCATGTTTTTTTGCATAGTTTCAATAAGGACCCCTGGTAGGAACCTCTCTGCCCTAAAGTTACAGGAGGGGATTTCAGAAGTTCATGAAAAAAAAATAGAAATAAAGTATGAGTTCATTTTGGTGCAAAACATTTCTGAAATCTATGCATGTATTTTTTTCAGAATATGCACTGTCCTTTAATTTTTTTGAAGACCACACGTATTTTATATCAGGTATGCTGTGGACAGATATGCCAGTGGCAGGCCCACTTACTCATAACCTTTACCATAACTTGGCGTTTAGAACAATGGTTTACAAACCTCTCTACACCTCAGAATCAACTACAATGGCTAAAACAGTATAAATGGTTTAGTTAAGGAAACAAATCACAATCCTTACAGCTAGCCCTACTAAATAAAAATCCCCCAGAGGTGAGATTCAGGAGTCTGCACTAACAATGAATTCTCCAAAATGATTCTGAGGCTGCCAGCTTTGTACCTACACTTTGGTTAAAACCATGGATTCTGATTTCAGAGATTTGGTCCAACTTCTGGCCTCATCTTATAATTTTAGGTAATACATTTCACTTCTCTGAGTCTTGAATTCTTTAGGGTCATAAGAAGTTATAGGAATAATTATTTGGGGCCAGCAGATGGCATAGCTGTTATGTCACTGGACTCCCACATGGCTGACTGTAGATAGAGTCCCAGACTCAGTGGCTTTTAAAACATTCCCAGC